GATGGGTGCCCATGGCTCCGGGAGAGAGGAGATTATCTTGCCATTTCTTTTTTCGTTTTTTTTTCTCTACCACATCTCGCCTTGCTTCTCTCTCAAGATACCACTTGCTCGTTGCACGATATTGCTCTCGCATCTACTTTGTACATAATGCTCCCTGGCTGGTCACGGGCCAAGCATGGGTATGCGATCAAGGGATTGGAGATATGGTTTGGATTTGACGCTTTTGATCGGCAAGTTTTTGAATATTTTTTCCTGTTTACAGACAGAGGTTTGTAACAAGGCTCTCTCTCTCTCTCTCTCTGATCTTGTCTGGTTCGACAGATGCAGAGGGAACGCGCAGAAATGTATACATTGTCCACGATCCTGAATGGCCTTGCTTCCACTTACTTGCCTCGGCTCTCGGTGGTCTGGGCGGTCTCTTCAGTGATCTTGTGCCGGTACCCCAAGCTGTGAGGGAAGTGAATACAATACCGATGCAAGACTGGCTCTGTATTGATGCCTTCTGATGCCGCTGATGGGCCAGAACAAGCAGCTGGTCTGAGGCGTGCGCTCGCTAATCGAATCAGGCCCCCCCCCCAATCGGCCCCGCAGAAGGTGCGTCCGGGACAGTCGGGCGGGGTTGCGTTAGATGGATGGCACTGTCGTACCTGGAAGAAACCAACGGGCAGTAGTCAATGGCAAGTCGTTGCCCCCCTCACAAGCTTCGGTCACAGTCCATCCAATGAACGGCTGGTCCCCGTCGTGGAGAAGGGAAGGAGGACCGGGACCGAGTGCGTGGTGCGTGGTGCGGCCGATGAGGGGAAGGGAGAGAGGGGACAATGACACGATGACGGAAGTCCGAGCCACGTCGGGAAGCTGCATGGCAAGTCCCGTCCTGTCATGTTTGTGTCGCACCAAGTAGGTAGGCACGGCACAGTACGATCATGAAGCTGGGCGGCCTACAGCTATGCAGGATGCCGCCGCCGGAGGGGTTAATTGGACTGTGTCGTCCCCGACGGCTGCAACAGGCCGAGCATAGGACTGCCAATGTTTGCGCGCGAGGTCACTCGCCGAGGGTGAGCTTTTTGACGCGCGCCGTGCAGACGATGGAGGAATCAACAGTTTGCGCCCCCTCCTGCGCCGGCCCCCTGATGCCTGTCACCCGGGCTGCCGACGATCCCGCCGTTCATTTGCAGTGAGGGATGAGGAACGAGCGTTCGCATCGTATAGCTGGCTAGCCGTTTCCCGGCGGACATCGTGTTGGGGCCGCCGCACCCATTGCCCATCCGAATTCCTTCTCGGCGCCGGCAAAGGGATACGAGATTTGGAAACGAAAAAGCATACCCAGAGACGAGAACATGGCAAAAAGACTATGGCCCTGTCTTGGGTGAAACGCAGACACCTGTCGATGCTCCATCAGATGCAACCACGATACGATGGGGCAACCGAGTCAACCGGATGCGCTCAATTATGGGAGCCAGCTATTATGGGTATGGGTAGGTAAGCCGGCAAGTGTTGGCTCATTTGCAGGCTCGCTTCCTCCTGTCAGGCTGTCGGCTTCATTGATTGATTGTTTGGCTGATGCACGAGAAAGTCAGTTCGGTCGCGTCTCTGCGTATGGGCACCGCGCACACAGAGGGAGAGAATGCGAGAGGGAACCCGCGTCTGTCGGATTTCGCGAGATTGCGCGGCGGAGATTGAGCACATGTTCGCATTCCGTTTGGGCGTGGCTGAGGCCGAGGGCCGTTTGGATTGGGAGGGGGGGGCGGGCGTGGGTGTCGGCGCGTGCCCAGGGCCTTGAATGGCCTGGACCTCCCTGCCAGTTTGTGCGGGAAGACAGCGCGAGAGCGAGGTGCGCTAGAAGCAACAAGGACAAAGAAAAAGAGCCGAGTCGTGAACACACCAGAAAAAAAAAACGAACGGCATGCAACCTTGAGCGGGCTGTGCCTAGCTCTGGCGCGTGGGTGCGAAGGTGCGAGGCGTTGTTGTCCCGCCCGAGACTCACAGACGTTTCTCTCAAGACCAGAGGGAAAACAAGGGAAGCCTGCGTCTGTTCGAGAACCATGACGACAAGTCCGTATGATCCCCACCAAGGGTCTTTTCCGAAGTCAGGTCTCTCTGTTGGGAAGATGGCCTTGGTGGCCTGGTATTGAGGAGACGGGCACCGCAGATCAAATGACGGCGAGGCGTGACCAGTCGGTTGGGTTGGAGCAGACTTGGCCGAAACCTGGCAGCTACTGAATCGAGAAGGTCATGGTGTCATGGTGTCATGGTGTCATGATGTCGCGGAGGGGCGTGGGCTGGGTGTGGGTGACGGCGTGACGGTGTCTCTCTCTGTCTGCCCGGCTGCCTGTCTGTCTCGTACCTTGGTAGCTTGGCTCAGAGAGTCGTCTCGGCCCTTGATCCGCTGGAGTGCGAATTGGCACAGGCCTGGCAGTACCGAGCATGACAAGTAGCACGGGGCACAGGGCACTGGACACAGGGCACTGGACACAGGGCACTGGGCCAAAGGCCCCTGTCAGGCGCTGGCACGGTCGCCGGCGCTGGGCTAGAGGCTGCACAGCCGAACAGGCCCCCCTGGAGAAACGCCCCTTTGGCGCCGTGGGCGTCCCGCCTGTCCAAACCCATCTCGGCTAAACACCGCAGTCCTCGATTCTGTGCCTTCCTCACTCGGGGAGTTGGGGTGGTTTGTGCTGAGAGACGTGCTGAGAGAAGTGGGAAGCAACGGGCTGGGGTGTGCCTGGGCAGGCTAAGCGCCCTGTGGTTTCCCGCTTTCCAGCTCGCTCCTCCATGTCTTTCCCATCCGATTCTTCAGGTCCAAGCAGGTGTAGGTCGAGTTCGAGTCAAGTCCGGCAGCCGCCCCGAGTTGCTCTTGCCTATTCGTTTGCATCTCCGCATCTCGGCCTTCGTCCTCTCTCTTTCTCACTCACCCGCCATACATCCATCCGTCCATCCATCCAGGCAGCGCGAGAGTCGAAACCTCTCCATCCGCCACCTACTCTGAAGACTCCCCCGATTATCGTTTTCCCAGCACCAAGAGACGAGAGACCAACAACAAGATCATGTGGACCTGTCATTAAATCCGCCATACCTCGAGCTCTGCTCCCCCACCCCACCTATAGCACGCAGAAACTCTCACGTCACCTCCGGCACGCACCACCACACCACCACGGCTCTCCTTTGGGATTCATTTTTCTGAAGGGCCACGAACCCGGCTTCCTTATCCCACGGCGCTGCGTGCTCCTTGCTGCGTGCCAGCACATCGCACTGTCTCACACGATTCTCGTCGACGTACGAATCACCAACCAAACCAAAAAGTCAACCCACGACAAGACACACGGCTGAGCACTGCATCGCCTGGCTCCGCCGGATGTCTCGCATCGCTTCGGAAACGCAGGTCTCTTCCTCTCATACGCCTGTCGGGGGCGCTTGCCCTACATCACTCCGCGTAGCAGCTGCTCGTATCAGTGACGTTCGCTTCTGAGCATGGACTCGTACGTTGTGTTCTTCTTCTGCTGCTGCAAACCACTTCTCCTTCTCCTCAATTCCACATCATCACCCGCCTTCACGTACCACAGGCTGAGCCGCTACTCCATGTGGTGTTCACCTTGGTCATGACCTTTGCTAATGGCGCTTGGCACAGCTTCATCGCCGTCGCCGGATGGGCAGGCCATTCAACGCCGCCCCCCTCCTCCAGCAGCCCCCGTAGTCTCGGCCACTTCCGTTCGCTCTCCTCCATCCCCCAGAGTCCCAGTCCTCAACCGCCACGAATGCCTGGCAAGTTCCTTCGACCTCGGAGCTCCCCGCCATGTCCGCCTCCGCAAACACCTCGCCTCGCCTACGTCCGCTACCGCTCTCGCCCGACGACGAAGACGCCGAGCTCAGCCGCCGACGCCAGCGGCTATGCCACACCTCATCACCCCGACCTCAACGCTGAGGTCGCCACTTTGAGCACCAAACTCATCAACGCCATCAACTACCAGACTACCCTCGACGACACCCTCTCAGCCACGAGGTCAGAACTCGACAAGGCCCGCCAACAGATCAGAACTCTCGAAGCAAGGAATGCCACCCAGCGGGAGATGCTCTCCGGAGATGTGTGGGTTCGCAAGCGAACCGTCGAGGAGGAAAAGAAAAAGCTCCTTGCTGTCTTGGCTGTGGAGCAGAGCCAGCGAGAAGAGGTTGAGAGGGAAAAGAAGAAGATCGAGCAGGAGCTGGAGAACCTGACGACAGCTCTCTTTGAAGAAGCTAACAAGATGGTCATCTCTGCAAAAGAGGACGCCCAACGGGACCACGATATGATCCAGAAGAAGAACGACCAGCTCAAGGCCCAGTTGGCTGACACAGAGGCTCTCCTCAAATTTCAACAAGAGCAGCTCACAGAACTCAAACACGTCATGGAACAGATGACCATCGAACGGGAAGAGCTCAGTGTTGCCACCGCGCCCTCGTCTCCGGGATTCGCCAAAGGACCCGAGTACAGGGACGATGACCGCCTCTCGCCCGACAGCGCTGCCCACCACACGGCCCTCGAACCCGTGTCGCCCACCTACCCAACAAGCTTTAGCCACCTGATCCAACCCGTCTTGAGGACCGATCTTGCTTCTTATGAGGACTTTACTGCCCTCGCCCGCCTTTCCAATAAACACGCCGCCGGAAACAGGCATTCGTCTGGGTCTATGCCTGGAGCGAACAAGCTTGGCTCTGGACTCGGTGGAAGTATATCTAGCGCGCATCCTTCCAATGCCTCGACGACGTCGCTCTCCACGGCCGGCACGCCTGTCACCACGACAGCTCCTCAGACCCCCAACACACCTGCGTCCACGGTCAGCGTAGGCTCGGCGGATGCTGGCACTCCGGTCCTGGCACTGAAGGAGACGAAATATTTCAAGCGTGTTTTGACCGAAGATGTTGAGGCAACGCTACGTCTTGATCTGGCCCCAAGTCTATCTTGGCTTGCGCGAAGGAGTGTCCTGAGCGCCATGACAGATGGCTCCATCGTCGTGGAGCCCATTCCCTCCACTTCACCTTACGCATCCTACATAAAGCCTCAGTTCTACCCTTGCTCGCTTTGCGGTGACGCTCGCAAGGACGAGAGCCATCTCCGCACATATCGATTCCGAACCAACGAGTCCGATTCTGCCCAACGTTATCCTCTCTGCAAATACTGCCTCAACAGGGTGCGATCTACATGCGACTTTCTCAGTTTTCTACGCATCCTGAGAGACGGGGCACTGGCGGACAGACCACGACGACGCCGAAAAGGCTGCTTGGGAGGAAAGCGTCAGGTTGCGAGAGCAGATGTTCTGGGCGCGCGTCGGCGGTGGCGTTGTTCCGACCGGTCACCCTGTCCAAGGTGAGGCGGAGAAGAGCCCGCGTCAAAGCCACGAGACATCCCGCAAGGGGGAAGCTGCGACAGCGCCGAATGCCATTGAATCCGGCGATATGGGTGCTGAGCCCGAATCCCCTGGGGACTCGGCCGCCATCGAAGGTGGTGTCCCATTAGACGCTGCCGAGGAGACTGTGCTCCAGCCCGTCACACCCTCACCAAGTAACCGCAACTCAACGCAGACTCTTGAGATCAAGGACGTCACGAATCCGAACGGCGAGGTCAAGAGGCTGTCCATCACAATACCGACTGCTGAGGTGGAGCAAACGAAATGAAGACGTCAGTGAGCTTTTCGACATGAAATCATACTTGCGCAGGAAAAGCCTACGATGTCCCTACCACGACTACTACACACACCCTGACGCATATTTTTCGACATCATTGTTCGGTGTACTAATATCAATTCTTTATTTATTGACTGGGAAACTCGATCGCTCGTCAGGCAGCTGCGGCAGACGCGACTGTCATGAGGATAGGATGGAGAGGAGGACTGACTAAAAAGCAGAGAGCACAACATGACATGCATCAACGCGATTGGGCTTTTTTGGATTTCTTTTTGTTTTCAATTGGCGTTCAGGATGGGGCTCGAGGACGACACGAGGAGAAGTTATGAGCTTACTCATAACGTTCTCCTCGCTCTCGGGGTATGCCGGCCCCTGGCGCGGACGGACACTGGCTCGGATCCTTCTTTTGGTTTCCTTTTGGCTCGGCTAATAGACATGATGGCAGGTGGGAAGCACAGCGGGCGAGCACCCGGGGGGAGACATGACTTGGGAGTTGAGGTGCCCTGACATTGGGTTTATTAGAAACGAGTAGTGTCGTGACAACGACTTCTTAATGCGAGATGGAGATGGCAATGCTCTATGACTTGTCACTATCATACTTGAGACAGTGCACCCGATCCTTGTAGTCTCTCTCTCCCACTCCCTCTCCGCCGACTTGTGAGTTCGGCTACTGAAGAAGCTCAAGAATCGACTATGGCTTGCCCGGTCCGTCACGCGTGAAGATGTACCTAAAATTCCGTCCTGACCAGCCATGGATTTTCGCAGAAAACAAGTCCTCGAAGAATGTGCAAAGCGCAGTGGTCATTATGATTTGTATTGGTACACGAGTGTATCGTAAGTGAGAAAGGAGGGTTGGGAGGGTTTCCTCTTCCTGAGAAAAGCCCGCCCCCCGAAAAATGGCACGGGAATGCCGCCCATCATTCATTTTCTGTCTCCGCAGCCCTTTCGTCGCTCGAACGAGTCCCTTCCCTTTCCCTCCGTTTTTGTTTTGTTTAATTTTCGCTCAAAGCCAGTAGGGCGGGAAACAAGTTTCCGTGTCCGTCGTCGGCGGAGGTACAGAAATGCCAAAGGGGCATGGAGAGCCGAGTCAAAACAAGTCTGTTCACAGCTCCTCCTTGACGGTGGCCTCCTTGCCACCCTCACTGGCGGGCTTGGGCTTCTTCTGCTCGGCCTCACGCTCGCCCTTGATGCTCTCGGCAGCCTCGGGCACCTTGGAGTCGGCGTCCGCGACCTTCTGCTTCGTCTCGGGGTCGACGCCCTCAACGTCAGGGTGAGGGGGGGCGACGACGCCGGCCTCCTCGCCCGGGACTTGCACCTCGTTGCCGTTTTCGTCGACGACGCGAGTGCGCGTCTCGTACTTGGTCTTGAACTCAACCTTGCCTTCGAGAGCCTTCACCTGCTCGTCGTCGAGCAGGTTGCCGTCCTGGTCGCGGTACTCGATGCGCTCCTCGCGGGCCACGATGCGATCCGCGGGGATCTCGGCGGCGCCCGAAACAGCCTCCTCGTTGACGTTCTCGAGCGGCTTCTGGGCCTCAGCCCCTTCGTTCTCCACGACAGCGCCCTTGGACGCCTTGGGCTTCTTGGACTTTTTCTTTGAAGACTTTGAAGGCGTCTGCTCGGCACCAGCGGAAGAGATAGTTGCGGTCTGAGAGTACTGAGCATACTGTGGGGAGCAAACGGGCAGATTAGTACGCGAACCAAAACAACCAAACATGGGAGGGCCTTGCCCCGAAAAGCGGGAAGGCCTTCATCAGCCCCGGACGGGCAGTTGTCTTTGGGGGATCGTCTCGGTAGTACTTACGTCCGTGGGGAAGGTGTTGCAGTCAAAGTCCCAAGTGCCGAAAAGCTTGACACGGTTGCACTCGGCCTTGGTCCACTGGTTGCCATAGGCAAGGGGAGAGAAAAGGACAAAGACGGCGACGGTCAGAGCGAGGAAAATGACAGCGCCGGCCTTGTTGACAATAGTGTTCTTCTGGAAGATGGGAAGGCGGGCAGTGAAAAAGTCGAAGATCTGGCAGAACGCAATGACGGCAAAGTAAAGAGCGGGGAAGTAGTGGTGCAGGAAAAGCTGACGAGCCATGAGGTAGAAAGGGAAATAGTGGAAAGCCCAGCCGAGAACAGAGGTTCCGATCTCGTAGTCAAAACGCTTGAAAATGGTGTTGGAGTAATCACCGCAGTTGCGCTGCCAACGGAGAACGGCAAACGCCTTGAAGAGAACATAGACGGCGATGGCCAGAGTAGAGCTCCACCAGACGATGGGGTTGCCGAGGAGATAAATCTGGCGGTTCTGCCTGCCCCAGAAGTTGATGCCTCGCTTCAGGACGGGCCAGGCCTCGGGACGGGAGTCCCAGGCGTGAGAATCGACGAGGCCAGCGTTGGTCTTCCACATGACACGCTGTAGCTCCCAGAACTTGCCGAAGAAGCCGGGGTGACGGTAGTTGACCTTCTCGACATCTTCTCCGAGCTTGGGATGCTGGTTGGCCTCAATGTACCACAGGCTGTTGGGGAGGGTACCACCCTTGGCGCAGGTGACCTCTTGCTGCTCGGAAGCCCAGTCGGGGAGCTTGACCTTGTGCGAGAAGAGAACGCAACCGGTCATGACGTGAACGAGCCTGAACTTGGTCTCAATGGTGCGGAGCCGCTCCTTGGCCACGGCACTGATAGACTGCTTCTTGACGATTTCGACACGGAAGTAATCGTTGGCATCACCGTCAAAACCCTCGTACCCGTACGCAGAGACTTCGTTCTGCCAGTCAGCCTCGGTGACAGGAGGGCGGACATCGTGGGAATGGAGACGTCGGTTGGTCTGAGTGTGGTACAGGCGAAGGACGGCGCCGTTCTTGATGTAGACGGGGTCCAGATCATCCCAGGCACTGGTGCCGTTGATCGCCTGGCCATTGATGTCAAGAGGCTGCGATTGGTTCTGCAGCATCCAAACGTTGTTGTCGTCCTTGTGGGGGTACAGGGTGATCTGCTGCTGCTTGCTGCCGGTGGGGTACATCAAGGGGTGCGAGTGCAAGTAACCGCCCTGTGTGTTGACGTGCCTGATGCTGACCCGGCTACCCATGATGACATCGGCCGCGACATCCTTCATGCCCTTGTTGTTGAGGGTCGATTGGAACTCGGAGCTCATGAAGCCGTCGCCGTCGCCAGGGTTGACGAGGCACACAAAGTGAATGGCAAACATGGCCAGGTAGAACGTCAGAGGAATGACGATGAGGCAGAAGACACGGGCGAAGAAGTGCTTAAACCAGATGCGCTGATGAATCGGTTAGAAATGCGCCATCGCCAGAACATGCAGCACCACGGTAGTAACAATACGTACCAGAGTGACCGTCTTGGTGTCGCCGAGCAGAACCCACAGCTGAACCAGCGTCAAGCTGCCGACCCAGGCAATGGTGAAGAGGCCAACCCACTTGATGCTGAGGGTGGTACCGAGTCCCAGACCAGTCATAACCAGCCAGAACCACCAGCTGAGCTGGAATGCCTTCTCGGGGCCAAGTTCGTGCTGGTTGGTGAAGGAGGTGAAGGCGAGAGCGGTGAAGGCAGTGGCGACCATCAAGGGCGAATCGAGAAGAATGAGGCGAGCCTGGGTAAGAAGGCCGTTCTCTGCGGACATGTCAGCCTGAGGTCAGGAAATGCACACGGGTACCATGTTCCGACGGACCAAAAATAATCAGGGCAGAGCCCATGGTGGCCGTTGTGGTGCGGCACCCAGTGGCCTTGAGAGTGAGGAACATGGCGGGCGCGAGAAGGATACCGCAGATGGCAGGGAACATGCGCATGGCCACGTAGGGTACACCAGGCTCAACGTAGTCCTTGCCAATCTCCTTGAAGTCGAAGTTGCCATCGAAACCAGCGAGCCAGCCGGTCAATGCGATAAGCATCTTGGCGAGAGGTGGATGGACATCCATAAAGAATTTTCCCTTGATATATTTCGACGCGAAGCCACCGAAGCTGAGAAGAGGCAAGATTAGCATGACGTTTCGACTGGGGCGATCAACGGAGGGGTCGGACGCCCGTGAGAAGAGAGGGTCCGGAGGGGGACGTACTGAACCTCATCGAAGACGACGCTGGAAGGCTGGTAGATGCGGAACAGGCGCACAATGGCGGCGAGAATGGTCAGAGCGACGACAATCTGGTAGTCTGTGCCGGGAAGCAGAAAGACATCGTTGTCCTTGACGCCATCGGACTTGTAGCTCGTCTTCTTCTGCCTCTTCGCAATCGTCTTGGACGAGTTGGCGACGGGTTTCTCTGCGAGCTTGGAGCTCGGGGCCACGCTTGGTGGAGCCATGGCGAACGAACTTCAGCGCGCAAGGCAGGGCGAGGATGAGAGACGAGTAATTCGCGTCCTCGAGGCCGACGTGTAGACCGCTTGAAGAAAAGAAGGGACCCGAGTCGTTGGTCGAAGAGGGACAAACGGACCAGGGGGAAGGAGGTGTGATGGACAGGTTAAATAAAAATGGACGAAGGAGTGTCGTGAAGAGAAGGTCATCAGCTGGCCGTCATGGAGTCGCACTGCTGTCTGTTCTGGACGGAACAATTGCCTTCAGCAGAAGCGAGGTTCTATTGAAAACGACAAACGACAAACGGAGGTCGGGAGTCGACGAAGGGATCGAGGTGGAAAGGGAGGGAAGACGAGTCCGTCCTGCTTGCCTGTTCGTTCCTACGTGCTTCGTATCGTAAAGGGGCGCGGGACGCTACACTGCACCTCCATCCAACCAGGAAGCACCAACAGCTCAGCTCTAAGGGGGGTCCAAAATTGTGGTTAAGTGGCCTCACCGGCCTTGGGGGGGAGTGGTACGTGGTACGTGTGTGCGTACTATGTATGTGTGTGTGGGTATGTGTGTGAGGACGCGCATGTGCTTCTGCTGAGTAAGATTTCATGCCGCCAGCTGCCAACAGCTGGGGACCTGGTCTCTCCCCCTGTACCAGCCACGTGACTCAAGATCGCGATCTGGCTCTGGCCACGGCTCTGTTTGGCGCCTCATATCTCCCCCATCGCCTCCTGTCTGGACCGCCAGCTCATCAACTGGTCTGGACCGTCCGGGGCGATCAGATCGGGAGTTGTGCCCGTAATAATTCACATCAAGTCGCTGCCACTCTTGGTAATGCATCTGCTCCTGCTCCTATCTTGCATACAGAGAGAAAGAAAAAGTCCTGTCACTGGAGGGCTCGAGGAGAGCTCAAGTGTTCCCCCCCAACGGCTCCCATTGGCAGCTAATCTTAACACCCAAAGCAGCATCGTGCTTCACTGGCTCAGGAATCGGCCGCCGTCTTTTCTTCTCTCTCACCCTCTCTCTCTCTCTCTCCGTCTTCTCGGGGACGGCCTGGTTCTAGTCTCGAAGCGCCTTTAACTACGTTTGTCCATCGGCTTATATTCTACGCCGCTCAATTCTTTCCTCTGCCCCCTCCCACCGACACGTCGCTCCACGTGTGGTGTCACGCCTTCCACCACGAGCCAGAGGGCAAGCCTTGTCTCACACGCCTCATTTCGCTCGGTATCGTCTCATTACCTGTGCGTGCGCAGTGGCCGAGCTGGGCCTTGTCCCCATGGGCAGCGATCTGAAAGCTCGCCTCAAAGCTAAGTTCTCTCGAAGAAGTTCGACGTCGGGTTCCGTCAAGTCGGGCCACAGCCACAGCCACGGCGAGACGCAGCTTTCCCAGCGAGACGAGTCAAGGAGTCTCGCCTCGACAGACAATCACTCGCGCCCTGCCTCTGTCCGTCTTGACCCTCAGTCCAGCAGCAATCTAGGAGCGCCCGCGCCCGACGCCGATGAGGCACCCGTCCGAATCGTGATTTCCCCGGAAGATAGCACGACGACGTCTTCGTCCACGGCCTCGACCTCGCCCAGTGAAGAGGTGCAGCCGCAAGAGTCAGTTACCCGTGACCCCAGCTCCCAGCTGTCAGCCGCCCCAAAGCGGCGTACGGCTAGTGATGGTACTGGGAAACGATCTGCACCATCCCATGGCCGCAACCACGTCCAGTCTGGCCAGCATCAACGAAAACCAAACCTTAGTTGACGCTAGCATCGCCGCAAGCCCACCTGCCACAAGCTTCCTCCCTCTGTTTC